TTATAATATAGATAAAAAAACCTGGAGGATATAATAGAAAAGTATTTAAAAAGTTGAAGGGTTAAAACTAAATATATTATTGGGTTAAAATTGAAAAATAAAATAAATAAATTTTAATTATTTTATTATTTCATATAGGTGGGGTATAAAAAGAGTAGGGTGAAAAAAGTAGCATGGGTGGCGTTAGAATACCCCTAGAATTAATCTGAACATTCCATTAAAATTAATTTCAACTTTTTACCTGCTCCATTCCTTTGGTAAAATATTCCTATGAAGATTCCAATCCAGAATTTTGTCAAACCACAGGGACCAAAACTGTAATTCACTCTTATATTTTTTATGTACATCTTCTACTTCAAAAAGTACAACCTCTAAAGCACAAACCGCGATAGCAATGCAAAGTTGTAACCTGTCTCAAAAGTATACAAGTAAACACAGAAGCAGCAATGCTTTTGCATTTGGCTGCCGCCTTACTCTTCCCCTACCAAGTTCTCCACCGCCTTCCGCCGGCCATCGCTTCCTCTCTTGCCCATCTAACGTCTTCAAACTCTGTTTATTTCGACTAAAATGTCGTTGGGATCACCACCGCCGGCTGTCGCTACTGCTGTGTCGGATGATTCGGTCACCGATGGATTGGAGAACCAGAGTTCGAGTGAAAATGTAAGGGTTAAGTTGAAGCTTGAAGATCTGAATTGGGACCATTCATTTGTTCGGGAGTTGCCAAGCGATCCCCGAACCGATATCATTTCTCGCGAGGTGAATTTTCGACATTTAGCAATAAATAACTGCAAAGAACGATTTCCCCTAAAGTGTTCAATTTTCCTCTGTTGCTTGCCTTATTGAAAGATATGAAGAATTGTGTGGACTTGTATGTGATTTTAGATCTCGAATTCAGGAATTTATGTTCTTAAACTATCTTGTAAGCTGTCATTCATGGTCAAGTTTCCATTGTATTAAGAGGGTAGGAATATAAAGAACTAAATAATGAGTGAATCTTTGCTTTCCTAGGTTGGAAGATAGTAACATAAGTTTTTAATTTGCAATTAGGGCTTGATTTTATGAATCCACTGTAGTTAATCGGGGAACTTTCGTAGAGCAGCAAGATTTGAGTGATCCTATGCCCTATGCCTGCATTATTGTTTCCTTGAAGTTTCTTGATATTGGGTAGTACATATTGGGCATTTGCGAGAGGGCTCAAGTAATTATTATTATGTTGGTCTGAAATTAGCCTATAAATAACAACAAAACAATAAGTTCAGCCCCTTTTGTGCATCTTAAGTAGACTCAATGGACAATAAAGGTGTATCCACCCTGTGTGAAACGTCTGATGCCTTGTGGGAGTGCTCATACATGATACAGCATGTCATTCTCTCAATTGGATGTCAAAATTTAGCAATCGTGCCTGTATATAAATGCAATGGGAGATGTAATTAATGATGTCTTAAAATCCGATCTTTCTTTTGAGACGATGAAGCAAACAGTCGGCAGCAGGCTCCCAAATAGAATATCATTTTCGGTTGGGAAGGTGATTTTACAGCATTTTCACTGTATGATCAATTATTATTTGTAAAAGATCACTCTTTTGTTATTCTTCAGTTTTAGATTTTCAAGTAGTAGTATTTTTTGATGTATTTTATATGCTAGTTTTAAGCTTTGAACTAACTTGATACAAAGCAAATTCTAAAAATCTGGTATGTTATTGATGAATTTTGTTTCAGGTGCTTCATGCTTGTTATTCAAAAGTTTCACCATCTGCTGAAGTAGAGAACCCTCAGCTAGTTGTGTGGTCTGAATCGGTTGCTGATATTCTTGATTTAGATTCTAAAGAGTGAGTTCTTTGTATATACAGAAAGTACTTCTTGCAAGTTCATATTTGATGTCCAAAATGCCTACCATGATAAGGCTCATTCATGGAACCAACAATCTATCGTCTGTATATAAATAGAAATACTGTTTTTCTCTTGTTATTGTCAGTAGTTGTAACATCTCGCCCGATAATAGGAGACTGACTTTGTTTAGCATAGAATTAGTTCACCATCCTTACCTTTTTTGCCTGTAACTATGGTATATGTGTTATTTGGCCCAACCAGTTCATAGGGTTTTCCTTTCCACACGAAACATTAATTGTAGACCTTCTAGCCAATGGGTGTAAGCTGCATAACTCTCAAAGGAACTGATAGCATATAGTGGGATTCAAACCTTAGACCTCACATGTATTTGGACACAAGGCTACAAGGGATTGATTGCTAGGTTAGCCCCTTTGGATTACCTTTCTTATAATAACCACCCCTTCAGTGTCTACCTTAATATGAGTATATGACTATACGATACTAGCAACAATTCTACCAACCACCACCGCTTTGTATGGTGATTGACAAGTTGACCACCTTCTTACCATCCGATGAGTTATACAACAGAATCCATAACAAAATAATCAATTTTCCTTCTTAATGTTGCCTTTCACTTTTTGTGTTTTCTTATTCCGTCTGCGCCCTCTAGCCTAACTGCAGCTCGTCATATACATTCATTATAATTTCGTTCCTGTTTTGGCAGTAATTGTCTTCTATTACATATTTTCCATATATGAGATGGACCATTTTATGGAATTTTGTATTTGTTCTCTTCTCTTTAGTTAGCTGGCTTGATCTATATCACCATTCCTGTTTGAGAAGATATCATAATCTTGAATTTTGTTATGGCTGTTGCAGATTTGAAAGACCAGATTTTCCATTTCTGTTTTCGGGAGCTTCTTCTTTAAAAGGAGGGTGAGTGGCATTCCTCTTTGTCTACATTTCTTAAGAGCTCTTTTTTCAACTTTAAAATGTTGATGATGTCAGTTACTTGTCACTCAGGCTGTCTTATGCTCAATGTTATGGGGGGCATCAATTTGGAATGTGGGCTGGCCAGTTGGGTGATGGCCGGGCAATCACGCTTGGTGAACTTCTGAATTCCAAGTCGCAAAGGTGGGAGCTTCAGCTAAAGGGTGCTGGGAAGACTCCGTATAGCCGGTTTGCTGATGGTTTAGCAGTTCTACGTAGCAGCATACGGGAATTTCTTTGCAGCGAAGCAATGCACAGTCTAGGAATTCCAACTTCTCGTGCACTTAGCCTTGTAACGACTGGAAAATTCGTGAGCCGTGACATGTTCTATGAGTAAGTTCTATGAAGTAGAACATTATTTCCATTTTAAATGGCTTAAAACATCTCATGACCATTGTCCAGTTTGTTATGGCTTCATGATTTTTTCTCCAGCCGCATATTTATGACTTATACTATACAAAAAGATAAAAGAGACGCACTTCAAACTTTAAGGTCAACTTCCAAAATTTGAACTAAATATTTTTGGTATGATTTATGTGGCTTTATGAATAAAATTTCCATAACCACATATGATAATGTCGTAAAGATACAAATTGAAAACATTTCAAGCAGATTAGTAACAAGACCCCTAGCGGTCTGGAAAAGTGATGTATTAAGTTTGACCTCAATAATCCAAGTGCATGTCTTGTTTTTTGGACCAGGAGTAGTATGTTTCTCGTTCAATTTTGTTTGTCCCTTCTATGTTATGCCATCTTAGCTAATACTGCCATACTGGTAGAGGAGCCAAGCAAAATAACTCAACTGTGACAGCTTACCTATTAAATTTTACGCCTGATGATAGCATTATTTTCTGTCCAAATGCAGTGGCAATCCAAAAGATGAGCCTGGTGCTATTGTGTGCCGTGTTGCCCCATCCTTTCTGCGTTTTGGCTCATTCCAGATACATGCTTTAAGAGGAAAAGAGGACCTTGGCATTGTTCGAACTTTGGCCGATTACACCATTAAACATCACTTTCCTCGTATTGAAAACATGAGCAAAAGTGACGGTTTGTCTTTCTCCACTGGGGAAGGAAACAATGCTGTTGTGGATCTGACTTCAAACAAGTATGCAGGTGAAGATTTCAACTTAGATAAACAATTGAATGCACACTTTCTTATATAAGAAATTCCCTTCATTGTGCAGAAGGAATTGGTATTTTAAACGTTACATGCTTGTATTTCCAAGTCGTCTATGTGTGGATTTGTTGTTTATCTGTAGGCAGAGTGTCGATTTAGTAATTTGACAGTGCTTTCTATCGACCACGTATTTTAATCTACATCTTGATCTTTTCCTTATTGGGTTTCAACTGATGGATTTTTTCAGCTTGGCTGGTGGAAGTTGCTGAGCGTACTGCTTCTTTAATTGCACGATGGCAGGGTGTGGGGTTCACGCATGGTGTGCTAAATACCGACAATATGAGCATATTAGGGCTCACAATTGATTATGGTCCTTTTGGATTTCTTGATGCCTTTGATCCCAGTTTCACTCCGAACACCACAGATATTCCAGGGAGAAGGTATTGCTTTGCAAATCAACCCGATATTGGCTCGTGGAATATAGGCCAATTTGCATCAGCACTTTCAACTGCACAGCTAATAAACAAGGAAGAGTTCAATTATGCGATGGAAAGGTAAACATAAATCTAATGAGTTCGTTACTATTCTTTCTTACTCAGCTAAGCTGATTTTGAAGCATCTTATGTTGTTGATTCACTGCAGATATGGTACTAAACTTATGGACGACTATCAGGCCATAATGACCAAAAAAGTTGGCCTTTTAAAGTATAATAAAGAACTCATTGGTGAACTGCTCAACAACATGGCTGTCGACAAAGTTGATTACACAAACTTCTTCAGATTACTCTCCAACATCCGGACTGATTCCAATGTTCCAGATGAAGAATTGCTGGTTCCATTGAAGGCTGCTTTACTAGATATTGGCAGAGAGCGAAGGGAGGCTTGGACCAGCTGGGTAAAACGTTATAGAGCCGAGGTAGCATGGCCACTAAACTTGTATTTAAAAATTGACGTGTTGTTTGTTTTCATGTGTCCCGTCACAGTTGTTTTCAGGGGAAGTTCAAATGAAAACCATAAATACTTTGAAAACCTGATAACCGACTATTACATGTATTGCTCATGATGAATAAGATGCATTGTTCATGACGAATAAGATGCATTGTTCATGATGAATAACATGCATTTTCATAATTCATGATATCATGCATTTTCATAATTCATGAATATCATGTATATTCATTATGAATAATTTTCATCATGAATATCTATCACAACTTTCCTCATAAATAAAGCATGAATAGTTGGTTCCTATGTTCTCAAAATATTTAGGGTTTTCATTTAAACCTCCCCCATTGTTTGTAACGCTTATTGATAGTCATTTCCTTTTATGGTGCAGCTATCTGCTATCGGTGTTCCAGATGAGGAAAGGAAAGCTTCAATGAATTCTGTGAATCCAAAGTACATTCTGCGGAACTATCTATGCCAGAGTGCGATAGACATGGCTGAACAAGGTGATTTTAGAGAGGTGAGACGACTGCTAAAGGTGATGGAAAGGCCATATGATGAGCAACCGGGTATGGAAAGATATGCTCGTTTACCTCCTGCCTGGGCTTACCGTCCAGGTGTGTGCATGCTCTCGTGTTCTTCGTGAGCGTTTTGGCTCACAAGCATAACATGTGCATAACAGTTAAATTATGTACGATTTCAGGGGACTTTTTCTTTTCTTTCGTTATAGTTATAAATGAGGGTAGTAATATGTCTGGTGCATTTGTGGAGTCGTTATTTGGTATAGTCAAAAGGATAGAGGAACTTGCTGTGAAAATGGTACATTCTTGCGGATTTCTTGATTTCAGTTCTGTAAAAAGGTATACCCTTGTGTGGGATTTACTTGTACGATTGGTTTGGTTTGGTTTGGTTTGGTTTGGTTTTGATGCTACTTTTCTCAAATGTCTTTTCTTGTTTATACGTACCGGAATCTGTTCAAATTATGCATTGAGAATGTAAAAAATAAGTTTTTATGTTGATGTGAGGGGAGAAAATTAATAGGTAGAAGTGTATTTAGTAATATATATAAGTAACTAAAGTTGAGTTCTGGTGAGGAGGAGGGTTAAAAATGAGAAGCGTAAGAAGAGATCTCCACCCTTAGATGCACATTAGGATAAGATGTATCGAGATGAGATGCACCGGGATACAACGGATTAATCCCCGTATCAAGTGCGGTTCATGAACGGGTTTGAAATTAAAGATGATCAATGATCGAGATCCTTCCTTACGTTTCTCACCTTAACTCTCTTTCTTATGAATAAACAGACTACTATTGAAATCTGTTTACGGTTCTAAAGCCCCCCACAATGGTGAGTTGGTGACTTGTGTTTGGTTTTTAAAAAAGCAGCCCAACTTCGTAATTTGTATTATCACTCCAATTTAATATTTGTAAGATCATTATTAAAAATCAAAATTAAATTTATTGGTAAATAATTACCTAGACTGCATCTAGTTAGATGTATCAGATACTAATTAGCGGTAGAGAGGGTCAAAAATCGATTTCAAGCCTGCCCAAATTGGTCTCGGTCCTAAAGTTCTTTCCCATAAACGGATACGTTCAAAATACACCGGCTCGGTCTCCATGGTATGTAACCGGTCCCAAATTGTTCGTGGGGTTTTTCTAATTGGTTTTTAATACATACAAAATTATTTTTTGAAAATCTTTTAGAAATTATAAATTTTTTATTTTAATAAACTTTAAAATATATAATTGGATCAATCAAATACATTTAAAAAATACGTTTTTATTGTAATTTGTAACTGATCTTCAATTAAATACATTTAAAAATACACTTAAAGTACATCAATGTAATCCTAGAAAATTGTTCCTTGAGCTTGAAATCTAAGAAGAGAACATCATCAATACCGTGTTCATCATCATAGTAAAATTCTGAGCAAGTGCTGTCGATAATGATACCTGGCGACGTTAGGTTCATGGTGCCTTCGTTTTCTTCAACCTCTTCAAGTTCCATTTCTAGTGATGTCATGTGTTGAATTCTTTCATTGTTATCCAATTAATCCTTTAAGCATATAGAACACTCCCGGACTTCGGGCTTAGTCTTGTCCATGCATCGAAATGATCCTGCCACTAAGGAAAAAAGCGGACTCCGAAACTACGGTACTAGCTTAGAGTGTTAGTATATCTTGGGCCATGACGACTCAATCCAATGTGATGTTATGCATATATAAGAATTTGCCAAACCGTGTGGCGCAGTTTATGCATCACATGTTAACGAAACAGAATTAGGCAAAAAAAAAAAAAAACATTTGTCCCATTTCATTACATCACGTCTAAGAGTTTGACGACTTACTGGCTTGTAGCGTAGTTGTGGCATTTTTTAGATGAGGTTTGTAATGTGTCAAAATGTCAGAACGAAAACCCAACTCGAGTGACATATTGTGTTGTCATTTGACAGTTCAATTCGGCATCGAACATCCATATTCCACCTTGATTATCAAGTATAAGTTGATATGAATCACCTTTTGCCGACCTCAACCCCCCAAAATGTTTTTTCTGTGTGACGCTTCAAGGTTGAATTTTCTTCGGCCATAAGGAGAGCTTGACACATTTTACATTGTGCCTTTCTTTTCCCGTTTGTGAGTACGACTATATTGTAAGATCTCCAAATCTCGGAATTTCGTCCGTGGTTGGTGGAAACTTTGACAATGGTTTTGTTGGATGCATCATGATCACCCACCATCTTTTAAGTAATAACACAAAGAAAGAGAGAAAGAGATGAGAAGTAGGACTTGTTAAAAACTGAAACCAAATACAAGCCGAAATCACGAATTATAGCAAGAATTGTGATGTTTTTTTACATCTGTAAGTTAGTATCTTCTACCATACACCATATGACCTATATATAGTTTATAGAGGGTAAAAAACAAAACGTTCAAAGAATGAAAAAAAGGGGTCATATAACCGTTCCCAACAACTATAAATCAGTAATATTTTTTCAGAAAAATGGGGACCGGCCCAGTCATCCGGCGGTCCTGGACTGGACCATTTGCCTATCTCTAATTAATGGATTGAAAATATATAACTATTTTTTATATAATATAGTAGATTCATTTCCTTATAATCCATTCCATCTTCTTATACTGCGGCTGTAATCTCTCTTTCAGAAATTTAAAGGTAAGCGTTTCTTAAAGATTTCATCTTCTCTAGGGTTTTGGTTTTCATTTACCGCCCATTACCTGTTTGTTAAAATGCCCAACTGGGTTTTCTTCCCACGTCTTGCCATTCCTGATATCAATTTACGCGCAGGTAATCGGTGTTGATGATGTTACTTCAAGTCTTCAACTGTTTACCCAATTGAAACAAAGAACTAGTTAATCTTAATCACATGGGTAGACTTCTGTTCTTGAAAACGGAAGGATTTGGGAGAAAAATACAACATAGGCATGTGCTTTGGCAAATGGCGAGTGAATTGCGATGGTGTTGGATTCTAATTGCCAAATTTTATTATCTTGGTTTCGTCTTTGATCCTCCCTCAATTCCAACAAAGGAGCCATATGTTGACTTTAGATGTCGAATGGGTTTAATTTTCAACTGTGAAACTTTTAATTGCATCAAACATTAAAACTAGTGGTGGAGATAATTGGTGTTGGATTTGCACCCTATCTATATACTTTTGAACAGCAAGCTGGAACTGGATTGTATTTCAATAGATGTATGATCTAGGCTGCACATTTGTAAGTTAAAATGAAATTAATTCCTTTAAAGGGAAATAATGCTCGAAAGCACCAAATTTGACATATACAATATGCTCAAAAGCACCTGTGGAATTCAGTCTGCCTGTCTTATTCTTTAACTTGTTTGCTCTTTTTTTCCCTCGAGTTCTAGTTTGATATATACCATCTAACTTGCAAATAATCATGGGCGAAAAATGTGATATTGAATGTTGGTATTTGTTTCAGAATGAGGATTCCAAGAAAGCTTGAGGTTTGGAGATTAGGCAGAGTCAGTTACTTGGAAGCACTCAAACTACAGGAAAAGCTGGCTTCCGATAGGAAAATGAGTAAGATTCCTGATACCCTTTTGTCGTTACAACACCCTTCTACATACACCCTTGGAAAACGCCGAACTGATCACAACTTACTAGTTCCTGAATCTGAACTAAAAAACATGGGTGCTGAACTGTACTACACACAGAGGGGAGGAGATATCACATTTCATGGCCCTCATCAAGCCATCTTATACCCTATTCTTTCCTTAAGAGATATCGGGCTCGGTGCTAGGAAATACGTAGAAAATCTTGAGTCAACCATGATCGAATTAGCGGCTCTATATGGTGTCAAAGCTGATGGTCTAAGGAAATTGGAGACCGGAGTGTGGGTTGGGGAGAGAAAGATAGGTGCAATCGGGGTTCGAATTTCTTCTGGGATAACGTCTCATGGATTGGCATTTAATATTGATCCTGATTTGAGGTACTACAAGCATATTGTTCCTTGTGGGATTTCTGATAAAGAAGTTACTTCTTTGAGGAGGGAGACTGATATGGTGCTACCTGATGAACAAGTGATCCAGGACCAGTTGGTTTCTTGTTTTGCTAGATTATTTGGTTATAGTGATATTATTTGGAGGAATGGATCATCAATATTGTAGACAGTGATTCAAATCAGACATAACCCAAGTGTGTAGATCGAGGGTGGAATGTTTTAATGAATAAAGTTTTGATTTTTAAAACAGCATGATGGTTTTTTACAGTAATTATTTGATGTGAATTAGTTGTTTTAGACTTATGCTCTTTCACTTTCTTGGTATGACGCTACATATGTGTGGGTATGATGTGCACAGACCTTGCGTCTATCTCAACTCAACCATAATTACAAGGATACAAGACATGTGAAGGTAAAGAGCATCCCGATGCAAGATATGTATGTGTGGGTATGACCGCACTTCATCGATTGTAGGTCATTCTTCTCATGTTTCTTGGCGTTGCAAACATCGATATGCGACAGCTGAAAACTTGCTCAACCTTCTTGGTTCGAGATTTTATCTTTTTGGTGATTAGTCTTGCCTGCGCTCGAGTATTTTTTTTATATATTCTTTTATCAAAATATCGTCCTCTCGTATGGTCGTTTACAATAACCATATGTGGCAACAACATTAGTAATCAAAAAAGTGTTCTGTTGATTTGCAAGAAGTGTCCTACACAATCCGAAACCGGGAAATTTTGCATTTCATTTCTCACATGATAATTGATAAAGATGTATATTCATGTTTTTTCATATCATGGTGTATTGTGTTCTCTTGCCACATGATTATGAAGGTAATCCAATGCAGAGAAGCACAAATGCATAGACAAGGATTATTGTCACAAAACCCTAAAAGGGTTATAGTGTTTTTCGTGTTGATGTCGTAAAAGCATTGCGATGTCCATGTAGTTCTCGTTCCTTTCAAACCTAGTAAATCTAGTTGTTTTGCTCTCGATTTTGCCTTCGAATCTAGAGTGCGTTTTGGATTTTCATGGGTCTTCAATTCTGCAAAAACAAAAACTTGAGCTTTCCTGTTACTTCTTGATTTGGGTTCTATGATAATTAACTAATAAAAAGATAATTTAATTATTTTTATAATTATTTATAATATGTTTTTCTAAAAAATTTGTAAAGAATGAATTTCAATTATGTTCCAAATCTTACAAATCAAACACACCAAATCGAGTCCCTAAATATCTTGCTAGAATTGCTACCAACACAAAGTTACCTGTATCATTCATGAAACCATATGCAAGATCAGAGATGGACCCAGAAGTCCATAATTCTCTGCCTTAAGGACCCAGAAGTCCATAAACCCGGAAGGCATTTTAGTCTTTTCGATCCTCCAGATACCATAGGATTTGTTTCTGGATACCAGATAATGGTCTTGGGTTTAGGGTTTATATTAAAAATTCTCACTCCAAGAGACGCAATTCCATCTGGAGATTATACGAGTACAACTTGTCCCAGAGTGTTAAATCTAAATCTCTAGAGAGTAGATTGTTTTCGTGAAAAAAAGACTAAAATGCCTTCCGGAAAAAAGAAAACTACATTGATTACTTTTACATATGCATCTCCTAATTGGTATTTTTTTTGTTGGGTTTAACCAATAATTCACATATGAATCGTATCTGAACCTTCCCCTTATCAGATAACTAACCAAACAAGATTGAATATTATAACATGATTATTTTCAGCAGCCTCAGGAGTGTTTGGTATTTGATATCGACAGTTTGATGTTTGTGTTTAATTAGTTTACGTTATCTGCATGGTGTTTCCTGATAACTCTGGAATCTGTACATGGAATCAACTGGTCAACAAAAGGCTATCATTTAGAACCAAACCCCTCCTGCTATAAAACACTCAGGTGTGCGAAGAATCAAGTATCTGGAATCCAAAATTCTTTCACTTGAATTCCTCTACTTTTAACTGTCATGCTGCAATTCTAGCAATTTCCAAATGCAAAGACTCCCATATCTCATTCTGTTTCCTCTTTTCCTGCCACTTTTAGTTATCGGACAACAAACAAACGGTTCGGTATCTGTTGGCTCATCCCTCTCAGCTACAGACGACGCCAAACCATGGCTTTCACCTTCTGGTGATTTTGCCTTTGGGTTCCAACGAATTCAAGCGAACGATAGCTTCTTGTTATCCATATGGTATGACAAGATACCGGACAAAACCGTCATCTGGTATCCAGAAGGAGGTCCTACAGTGCCTAAAGGATCGAAAGTTGAGCTAATCAATGGGCGTGGGCTCGTACTGAGTGATCTTCAAGGCGTAGAGGTATGGACTTCTGGGTCTGGTTCAGATATTGCATATGGTGTTATGAATGATACGGGTAACTTTGTGATTGTTGGTAACAATTCTAACAAGATTTGGGAGAGTTTAGATTTTCCAACAGATACTATGCTGCCTAGTCAAGTTATGGAGAAAGGCGGAGTGATTTATTCGAAAATGAGTGGAACAAACTTCTCTAACGGAAGGTTCCAGCTCCGTCTGCTTCAAGATGGGAATCTTGTTCTCAACACTCGAGACATAGCTTCCAATTTCGCTTACGCTGCTTACTACGCCACTAGAACTGATGATTCCTCCAATCAATCAAATTCTGGTGAACAACTGATCTTTGATGCAACCGGATACTTGTATATTTTGAGAAGAAATGGCAAAAGATTCGATCTTACACCAAGCCAGGAACTTCCGTTAGGAGACTATTATCACAGAGTTACGCTAGATTTTGATGGGGTTTTGACCCAATACTATCACCCCAAGGGTTCCGGTAACAATTCAAGCTGGGAAATCGTATGGTCGTATCCTGAAAACATATGTCTTAGTTTCCGGGGAGCTGAAGGTAGCGGAGCTTGTGGATTTAACAACGTCTGCAGCCTTGATCAGGATAATCGACCAAAGTGCGAGTGCCCACAAGGGTTTTCATTGCTTGATCCCAGTGATCCATATGGTGACTGCAAGCCATATTACTTTCCAAACTGTGAGGAAGGTGAGTCCAAGGGAGACGCTTTCGATTTCGTGGAGCTCACTGATATTGACTGGCCAACATCGGATTATGTCATCATGAACCCAACTAGTGAACAGGATTGCAAAAATGCCTGCTTGAATGATTGTTTCTGTGCTGTTGCAATTTACAGGGGAAATAAATGTTGGAAGAAGAAGCTTCCGCTCTCCAACGGAAAGGTTGACGATTCACTTAACGTGAAAGCTTTTGTTAAATTCCGAAAAGGTGATCTTCCTCCTTCGACCCCTCCCCGTTATTCAAGAAAGACGAATGATCGACAAACCTTGATAATTGTGGGATCGGCCCTCTTTGGTACCTCTGTGCTCGTAAACGTAGTACTGATCAGTGCGATTTGTGTTGGTTTCTTCCTACTCTATCAGAAAAAAGCCGGGAATCTTAATCCAGGTAGTAACACTATCGAAACAACTCTTACTCATTTTAAGTATCGACAGCTCGTCCATGCTACTAATGGGTTCAAGGACGAACTGGGAAGGGGGGCTTTCGGGATAGTCTATAAAGGTGTAATAGGGGCAAACATCGTGGCGGTGAAGAAGTTGGATAGGGTGGTTCAAGATGGCGAAAAGGAATTCCAGACCGAGGTGAATGCGATTGCAAAGACTCATCACAAAAACTTGGTGCGGCTTCTTGGCTATTGTGATGATGGCGAGCAGCGGCTGCTGGTTTATGAGTACATGAGTAATGGTACGTTGGCAAGCTTTCTTTTCGGAAACATGAGACCCAGTTGGAACCATAGATGCCATATAGCATTGGGCATCGCAAAGGCACTCGCATACCTTCATGAAGAGTGTAGCACCCAGATCATCCACTGTGATATAAAGCCTCAGAACATACTTCTTGATGAGTACTACAATGCTCGGATTTCCGACTTTGGATTGGCGAAGCTTTTGTCGATGAATCAGAGTCGAACGAATACGGGAATACGAGGAACGAAAGGATATGTGGCTCCGGAGTGGTTCAGGAATGCACCGGTGACGGTAAAGGTGGATGTGTACAGCTTCGGTGTGTTGTTGCTAGAGATTATTTCATGCCGAAAGAGTGTGAAGGAGTATGGGAATGGTGATGAATATGGAGTAGTGATCTTGACTGATTGGGTCTGGGATTGCTATCAAGAAAACAGATTGGATTTGGTTGTTGAGAATGATTCAGAGGTGTTAGATGATGTGAAGAAACTAACGACGTTTGTGAAGGTGGGTCTTTGGTGTGTTCAAGAAAAGCCAGGTCTGAGGCCAACGATGAGGGAAGTCATCCAGATGCTTGAAGGAGTTGTCGAAGTAAGAGAACCTCCATGTCCATCCCCTTTCTCTGTCACCTTGAGCTAATCATCAAATTGGATTTGGATTTTATCGATCTGGAAATTGGTATGATTAGGTTGAAATTTGAAAATTAAGTTGAAGATTCCATCATACATCGTTGCTTCTTCTTTAATCTTGTGGTTGTACAGAAGTTCATGTAGACTTGTTCATCGATGCTCAACTTCTTCATCTGGGTCGCTACTCTGTTCGATCGGTCAGCGTCGACTCATCGGTGTTAATCGTGGAATCAGACGACCGGACCTGGTCTCTAACAAATTGGTCTTCCACTGTTCCATGTTTACAAGATCCAACGGTTTTCATTCATTTGATTAACGGGTGTCAAAAGTTTCTACTAACTCCATTTGAAGGGTGAGTTGGTTGGTATGTTCAGACCTAGGGTGTACGTGGGTTGGGCTGGGCGGTTTACAATATTTTTACAACTCAATCTAATTATGACGGTTTGAAAAAATCTCAACCCAATACCCATTCAAAATTATAACCCAACCCAACCTAACTCGTCTGGGATGAGTCGAGTTGAGTTGGGTTGGGTTGGGTTGGGTTGGGTTGGGTTGGCGGGTTAGTAGTTACATAATATTTGACGAATGAAATAATTTATAAAACTTAAGTTTATAGATCATTCTATAAAGCGTTCTATCTAAAAATGTTGCAATAGGTTTATAGGATGTTTTATCACGTTTCAACAAGTGTTTTAGAATGATCTTTAAATAAAATGTCGTATTAGTTATTTTATAGAAATATTTTGAGAAGTGTCCTGTAAACTTGTCTATTTATAGGACACTTTTGTTCATATGATACTTTTTCAAGTTGTGTCGTATAAAATAACCATCATGACATTTTATTTTAAAAACGTTATAGAATTTGTTAAGACGCCTAAAATCATCTTATAAACATATTGCAACTCTTTTAGATAAGAAATTTTCCATGTTTCGTCCTATAAAGTATCATATTAGGACGGTTAGACATTCTAGACATCCTATAAGATCTAATGTTGTTGTAGCGAAAATCTATAACTAAGCATTTTCTTTCCACTAAAGTACAACACAAAATGACGGGGGTATTTAGATTGATGGATTCGTCAACCAAATATGTATCAATATCATTCATATTCTCCGACATATCAATTTGTTGTTGCTGTAAAAAAGTTTTCAATAATTTTCCCTTATTAATTAGATTATTTGTCATTATTCTTTGATCGTAAATCTCTTTTGGTAACCTATACGTTTAACTAAAATGAAATGCAAACATAATATCAATAAAATTATATAAAAATTTATACATTATTAATATATATATATATATATATATATATAAATAAAATTTATAAAAATTATATATTAGCAGCGGGTTGGGCGGGTTGAGGCTTTCGGATTTCAGATTGCTTTGGGTTCGGTTTGGTCGGGTTTCTAGTTGATATCGGTCAGGTTCGGGCATTATTATAATGCAAAAAGTATATATAAATTCAAACGATTTTGAGGATGAATTCAGTTGATTGAGAGTTGATGAAATCGATAGTAAATTTAGAAATTAGAAAACAAATCGACCGACAATAATTTAGGATTTTCAAAAGGTAATTACATAAATAAATATATTTATATAATATTTAAAATATATATGTAATGTAATATTATTTTGGGTTTTCAGACTAGTTGGTGGCCAAAGAGCAAACCGACCCGAACCCAAATATTCCCTGTAAAAGTCGGGTTTCGGGTTTTTAGATTTCAGGGTATTGCATAAACGCTTTATTTGGGAAAGGGGGCTTTTTGGGTTGTCTACAAAGGTGTGATGGGGACAACCATCGTGGTGGTGAAGAAGTTGTCTACGAAATATAGAAAATGTTGGGAAGCAGAGGAGCAGCATGAAGCTGAACAGAAGAAGCTTGAGAAACTCCAGAAGCAAATCCACGAAGAATTAGGTAGGGATATGTTTTTTTTCTTTAAAATTTTACCGATTTCTTATAGGTGAAGGTTGATCTTGATTTCACCAGTCACTCACAGCTGAGACAAAGATAAATAATGAAGAATCTTGTTTATAAATATTTTATATAACAAACGTTAGCATGTCCAAGTAATGAAGAATCTTGTTTATAAATATTTTATGCTTCTACACTTTTAATGAATTTATTTTCTGAATTTAATAATAAAAACTTTAATATATAATACAACTAAAAAATAGGGCCACATTCATCTCTTTGCACAAGGCCTTCAAAATGTTAGTATTGATCCTGTCTTTGGTATGCAGGGAGGACACGATAGGACAACGTTTGGTAAGAAATGACAGGATTGGACAAGATAGAACTGGTTAAAATGACCAACTTACCTTAATGAGATGTTTAATGTTTTTTTTAATTATCAATTTAAATGAAAATTAACGAATACTAATCAATCTACACTTCACATCCATCACTCCATTTGAAATTTTCAAAAAGGGACACTACAACAAAATCGGATTTATAGGACATAATTAAATTTTAGGTGTCTTGATAGACCGTTTTATATGATTTAAATTTATAGGGCTAAACAATAAAACATCACATCTAAATATGTTGTAATAACTTTATAGGATGTTGTTGGACGTTTTAACAGGGGTTTTAGTACACTTTTAATACAAAATGTCGTATCAGTTATTTTAATGACACTTCTCACACATTTTCTATATGACACTGGTTTTTAGAGATTTTCAAACAGTGTTACATGAAAGAGCAAATACGACATTTTTTTTATGAAAATGCCCTAAAATGTTCTTTTTTGGGGTTCTAAACAAAAGGCATAATATGACTAAAGGAAATCTGTTACTTATTGCTTTCAAGACAAGTAAACTTTTTATTCTTAAAGCAATTTCGCCCCTACTATAGATGCTTTGAAACTGTCGTTGTTTTGACACATGGCAGCAACAACGACGGACAGATTGTCACATCTGTTCAAACAGGCACATTTTGTGTAATGGTCACTGTTGGTGACGCCTCAAACCGACACGACTGTTGAAGGAAGTGCCAATCTAATTAACAACGACGTTCAGCCTCTTTCTGAACCGTTTCCAGCACCAAGTGGAAACAATTGGATGCCATTGTTCTCTTGGATTTACGGCACCATTACGAGGCCCTTCTTTTCACTATCATCCAACTCGGATCCACCGCTCGTGATGCTTGGCTTCGAGGAGCTCGAGCCGCTGACTTGGAGAATCAGTTCAATCCCATTAGTCTTGACAATTTCACAAACAACTCAAAATTTTGGCCGACGTTGATGAAACGGTGAGCGACCAACGTCTTGTTCTCCAATTAGTTAATGGCTAAAAGGTATGAAGAACACACTGTATGTATAACCATGAATTAAATCAAGTATACAATATACAGGAAAACTGATACGTACCTTGAATTGCAGATGAAGAAGAAGCATTCCCTGTTCTTGCTGGTTGTTGTTCCATTCTTTATAAGATCCACTTCTGCATATCTATCCCATGATGGATTTGGTCTCAATAGATTTTCAGTGTTCTTTATAGAGAATGAACGATGTTGGCGCCAAAAGGTTTATATAACCCTTCTCCAAATTAGAGGATCTGAAGATACGGTTCTGTTCCATCAGAGAACCGAATGGTAACTGTCACCATTAAATACCACATCATTATACGGTACCTTCTTTCTCTATATTTTCGTTCAGCAATATACCAATGTAATAGCAACATATTTAATTGAATCATTAATTGCTGATTCTTAATTATATTGTTCTCTACTGTTATACATATATAAAAGTATATATTACAAATGGCTTCAACCATGACTACGACACTGTTGGGAGCATCACAAGTCAGCAGTCTCCGCTGCCCTCTTTTCGACCGCGACTAGAACACTATTACAAACTATTCTCTAAGTAGGACTTCAAAAATCTTTTTGTCGACTTAAATCATTAATCTTTATTTTACATATATATAGACCCCCCATTAATTTTGTTACTGATTTCTACCAATCTCAATTCCTATGGCTTTACTCCTACTGCGTCTGATCTTTGTAACTGTTTTCCTACGTTTTGTAGCTGCGCAACAGACCAACGGTTCTGTATCTGTTGGTGCATCACTCACAGCAACCACCGATGTTTATTACAATACTTTTTATTTACATTTGTTGAATACATTTTGATGTTGATATATAGATTAAATACGATGAATGATTATGTGGGTGGTCAAATTAATGAGGTAGGGACAGAGACTTTTGACTTCAATTTAGAATTGGTAGCGTGTTTGATGGGATAATTAGACGAAGAAAAAGCAGCCCAAAAGTCTTTCTGTTGACTTCAATCATTCATCAGTTTTATATATGTTTTTAGGCTCCCCAATGATTTTGTTATTGTTTCTACCAATCTCTCAATTCCTTATGGCTGAAGTCCTACTGTGGCTCTTCTTCGTGACTACTTTTCTGGGTTTTGTAGCTGGACAACAGACCAGCTGTTCTGTATCTGTTGGTGCATCACTCACAGCAACCCCCGGTGTCACACCATGGCTTTCATCTTCTGGTGACTTTGCCTTTGGGTTCCGACAACTTCAAGGGAACGGTAATTTCTTATTATCCATATGGTATGACAAGATACCTGACAAAACCATCATCTGGTATCCACAAACAAATGCTACTGTGTCTAGAGGATCGAAAGTCGAGCTAATTGATCGGCGTGGGCTTGTACTCACTGATCCTCAAGGCAGAGAAGTATGGAGTACTTCCAGCTCTTTTTCTGATCTTGCATGTGGTTTTATGAATGATACTGGTAACTTTGTGATTCTTGGCAATAATTCTGGCAAGATATGGGAGAGTTTTAGTTATCCAGCAGATACTCTGTTGCCTACTCAGGTTATGGAGATGGGTGGACAGATCAATTCGAAAAAAAACAAAACAAACTTCTCTCGTGGAAGATTCCAATTACGTATGCAACCAGATGGGAATCTTGTTCTTTATACTCGAGATATATTTACCGATTCCATTCATGATGCTTACTATGCCAGTGGAACTTTTGATACCAACAATTCAACAAATTCTGGTGAGCGATTGATCTTTGATGCAACGGGATACATGTATATATTGAGAAGAAATGGCCAAACATATGATCTTACTCAAAGAGACACACTTCCTTCTGGAGATTATTATCACAGAGCTACTCTAGATCCTGATGGGCTTTTTACTCAATACTACTACCCCAAGAATCCCACTGGAAATGCAAGTTGGGAAGTTATATGGTCTGAACCAGAAGATATATGTTTTAAGGGGGATATAGGTAGCGGAGCTTGTGGGCTTAACAACGTTTGCAGCCTTGATGGTAACCGGCCAAAGTGTGAATGCCCACGGGGGTTTTCGTTGCTTGATTCCAATGATCCAAATGGTGACTGCGACCATGATCTCAGTCCAAGATGTGATGAAGGTTATGCGGGAGATCTGTTTGATTTCATCGAGCTCAATAATACTGATTGGCCAGGATCTGACTATGCGCATATCAGACAAAGTAATGAACAAAACTGCAAACTTTCTTGCAGGGAAGATTGTTTCTGTGCTGTTGCGATTTTCCGGGACAACCAATGTTGGAAGAAGGCAATTCCTCTCTCCCATGGAAAGAAGACTTCACAATATGTGAAGGCATTCCTGAAATACCAGAAAGATGAACGTCCTCCTCAATGCCCTCCTCGGATTTTAAAAGAAAAAGATCAGAGAAGCCTGGTACTTGTTGGATCAGTTCTTTTAGGTACTTGTGTGTTTGTTATTGTAGTATTGACTGGTGTGATTTGTCTGGGTTTCTTTCTAGTCTACAAGAAGAAACCCAGAAATCCATATGCAAGTAGTAAAGCTGCTGAAAGCAATCTGCCTCGTTTTACTTATCAAGAGCTAGTCGAAGCTACTAATGGGTTCAAGGATGAACTGGGAAGGGGGGCTTTCGGGATAGTCTATAAAGGCGTAATAGGGACAAACATCGTGGCAGTAAAGAAGTTGGATAGAGTGGTTGAAGATGGCGAGAAGGAATTCAAGACGGAAGTTAACGTCATTGCAAGGACTCATCACAAAAATTTGGTGCAGCTTCTTGGGTATTGTGATGATGGTGAGCAACGCCTATTGATTTACGAGTACATGAGAAATGGCACTCTCGCAGCCTTTCTTTTCAAAGACATGATGATGAAGCCAAGTTGGAAAGAGAGGAGTTATATTGGTGTAGGCATAGCAAAGGGACTCGCATACCTCCATGAAGAGTGTAGCACACAGATCATCCACTGTGACATAAAGCCTCAAAATATTCTTCTTGACGATTACTACAATGCTAAGATWTCWGATTTTGGATTGGCAAAGCTTTTRTTGATGAATCAAAGTCGAACAAATACTGGAATAAGAGGAACGAAAGGATATGTTGCTCCAGAATGGTTTAGGAACACCCCCGTCACTGTGAAGGTTGATGTATTCAGCTATGGCGTGTTRCTATTAGAGATCATTTCATGTCAAAAGAGTGTGGTTTTTGACAGTGATAAGGAAGATGTGGAAGTTTTAACTGATTGGGCATGGGATTGCTATCATGAAGGTAGAGTGGATGCAYTTGTTGAGRATGATAKGGAGGGGTTAGAYGACTTGGAGAGAGTAACAACATTTGTGAAGGTTGGTCTATGGTGTGTACAAGAAAACCCTTCTTTGAGGCCAACCATGAGGAAGGTAGTCCAGATGCTTGAAGACTTTGAAGTGACAGATCCTCCATGTCCATGCCCTCTATTTGGTACCTCCATCTAATTATCAAATAGCTCTGCCATTAATGTGTTGGTAACTTGTTCTATATTTTAATTGTTTCCTACTGTTAGTTGTAATAAATAATTCGATCTATATAGTTTAATGATCACATCTTGAGAGGTTTAGCCCATAAATGTTTGAACTTCATCACTGAATAACACAGCAGGCCATCACATCTTCAGGAACCTATGCCCTCCATGATTATAAGCCATCACCAACCCAAGGACCAAACCTTGAGGGCTAGCTCAACCGTCATATATATAAAGCCTAGCCCTTGTGGCTACTCCCAGAGGTTGTCATCATTCAAGTTTCGTCAGGTCCGATTGAGACCAAAACATACCATCATCTCCAGACTCCAGAGGTTAAAACTGTGAACTAAGAATACACCCCAAAGATCTGGCGAGGACCACCACAAGAAAATTGGGTTTATAGGGCTTAAGTTTACAGGACCAAGATCTGGCAAGAATACACCCCCATAGATCTAAACGTCTTAATAGCATATTTTATAGGAATTAAGTTCATAGAACCAAACTATAGAGCTGGACTGACACGGAGAATAGGAGTGCTAAAATGCAGCAGGTGTGAAGAAATTGCAGTGGTGGGAGAAAGTATGGATACACACAGTTCCCGTGACACTAGCCATTTCTTAGTATCTAATAGGGACCAAAAAATTTCGTATTATATTAAGGGCTAAAACATGTATTAATTAATTACTTTGGAAAAGAGAATATGTAAGAAGTTAATTGTCCATTTATTTTATAGTATTGTTTATTGTTTCTCTAAATTTTTTATCTAGTACGAAAATCTAAAACTACTTGTCTAGAAAACCTTGATATACAATTTTCATTATTCAGTTTCCATCGACTCTTTTGATTATGTCATCCACATGGATTATAATTTTTATATAGTAGATTTCTTATTATTAACTAAAAAAAACTCCTATATTTTGAAAAAAATTATCAACTATATGAGACGGTCCAACTTATATTTATATCAAGATTTCAAAACGACCCTTGTCTTTTCATACACTATTGATTGATCATTACCTAATATTGAGGGCATGAATCTTAAATACTCTCCTATCTCCAAAACAAGAATACGATCTCAAGCTATAATCAACATAGGCTTTTGATTCTAAAATTGGTAGTTCCGAAAGTTTAAAAACAGTGATGAAAAACATTAACCAGAGGTGAGATGGAAACCCGATTGATTTATGGATTTACATAGAGTTTTACTTTGAATAGTTAACATTATGACCTCAAATGATGTCAATCTATATATTAAATGTATATCAAATGATGTTTTTGACGATGGAACATATTAACGATGTTATGTAAAACTGAAATGGTAGACAATATTAATTTAGAGATAATTACCGATTGACTTTGCATCTAGGAATACTCTAAAAAAAGAGTTTTATACGAATTATTAGTATTTATTGAATTCAATGTTATTTCTAATGATAAAAACGATATATTATAGATTTTTTCATATTTATCGAGTCCCTTTTTTTTACGTCTCGTCCACGGCTTAATGTCATCTCCAACGATCTACAGCAACACCAAAGTGGGTTTCCATGAAGAAATATTTAGGCCAAATGGCCAAGATTCTGTACCACCACACAAATATGATGATCGGGATAATGACATATTTTCAAACCACAAAAGACATGACACTTCAAACGTCTATGTGTTGACTTTAAATCATTCATCTTGATTATATATGTTTTTAGACCCCTAATTTTGTCATTGTTTCTACCAATCTCAATTCCGATGGTTGTAGTCCTACTGCGTCTCATCTTCCTGATTACTTTCCTGGGTATTGTATCTGGACAACGGGCCAACTGTTTTGTATCTGTCGGTGCATCGCTCACAGCAACACCCGATGTCAAACCATGGCTTTCATCTTCTGGTGATTTTGCCTTTGGCTTCCAACAACTTCAAGGGAACGATAATTTCTTGTTATCCATATGGTATGACAAGATACCTGACAAAACCGTCATCTGGTATCCGGAAGGAGGTCCTACGGTGCATATAGGATCGAAGATTAAGCTAACCAAAGGGCGTGGGCTCGTACTGACAGATCCTCAAGGCAGGGAGGTATGGAGTACTTCCAGCTCTGTTTCTGATATAGCAGGTGGTTTTATGAATGATACTGGAAACTTCGTGATTCTTGGCAAGAATTCCCGCAAGATATGGGAGAGTTTTAGTTATCCAGCAGATACCCTGTTGCCTACTCAGGTTATCGAGATACGTGGAGAGATCAATTCAAAGAAAAGCAAAACGAACTTCTCTCATGGAAAATTTCAGTTACGTCTGCTTCCAGATGGGAATCTTGTTCTTAATACTTGAGATGTATTCACCACTTTACCTCTTGATGCTTATTATATCAGTGGCACTCGTGATGCAGACAATTCCGCATATTCTGGTTACCAATTGATCTTTGATGCAACTGGATGCATGTATATATTGAGAAGAAATGGCGAAAGATATGATCTCACTCCAAGAGTGGCACTTCCTACTGGAGGTTATTATCACAGAGCCACTCTAAATTCTGATGGGCTTTTTACTCAATACTACTACCCCAAGAATCCCACTGCCGATGCAAGTTGGGCAGTTATATGGTATGAGCCAAAAGAAATATGTTTCGGTGGGAGTATAGGTAGCGGAGCTTGTGGGATTAACAATGTTTGCAGCCTTGATGGTAACCGGCCAAAGTGTGAATGCCCACAGGGGTTTTCGTTGCTTGATTCCAATCATCCAAATGGTGACTGCAACCGTGATTTCAGTCCAAGATGTGATGAAGGTTATGAGGGAGATCTGTTTGATTTCATCGAGCTCAACAATACTGATTGGCCAGGATCTGACTATGCGCATATCAGACCAAGCAATGAACAAAGCTGCAAACTTTCTTGCAGGGAAGATTGTTTCTGTGCTGTTGCGATTTTCCGGGACGACCAATGTTGGAGAAGGCACTTCCTCTCTCCCATGGAAAGAAGACTTCTTCAGAATATGTGAAGGCACTTCTGAAATACCAGAAAGATAAACGTCCTCCTCGGTTTTTAAAAGAAAAAGATGAGAGAAGCCAGGTACATGTTGGATCGGCCGTCATAAGTATGCATGTGCTTTTAATTGCCATATTGACTGGTGTGATTTGTCTGGGTGTCTTTCTAATCTACAAGAAGAACGCCAGAATCCCATATCCAAGTAGTAAGGCAGTCGAAACCCATATCCAACTGTGAAGGTTGATGTATTCAGCTATGGCGTGTTGCTATTAGAGATCATTTCATGTCGAAAGAGTGTGGCTTTTGACAGTGATATGGAATATATGGAAGTGTTTTTATAAATGGAATAAAACTTCCTTCTAAAAGCTTATTGAATAAGCCATTACCAAACATGTCAAGTATAACTAACAGAATAAGCTGAAATCCCATTAAGTTCATTAATCTGCTAACAAACAGCCATTAATCCACACACAGAGAAAGATTGTAAAATACCATTTGATCCATCTGGTATCACTTCTTGATTATATTTTGGCCAACAAAAAAGGGGTCTGAATCCAATTCCCAGAACCTTTATGCTTTCTAAGCAAGAAACTATGAGGTGAAAAGTGCAAAAAGCCTAAAATATGTCATCTTCTTCACCCATCTAAGACCCATGACCCGTTTCTTTGACCCATTTCTATATCATCTCAAAACAATGCCATTTTCAGCCGTAATAAAAAGAACTACTGGAATCAATGCGATTTTTATAACTCATATTCCTATGGTTTTTTAAATTTATGATTAAACCCAAACCAAAACATCCCCGTTTGAGGCGTTCAAAACTTCAATCGAACCACCATTGATGGTGCTCGATCTCAGTGGGGGTTTTTAAGTGATTTTAGGCCACGATTGACCCAACCAATAGACTCAGATACGTCCCATAACAAGTTTCATGCTAATAATTCAAGATTTAAGGTTTAATTCGCACCTGAGATTCATCGTCGAGCCTTCAACTCGAACCCCAGCTTCGAACACGAAAATCTCTCCTAGAACTCAACGATTCTTTAAACGATTTTTGGGTTTATGCAAGATAGGGATGATTTAGGGTCATTTTATGGGACTTAAAAACAAGAACTCAAATCGAGTCCCAATAATGAAGGGAAAGGCCGAAAAGGTCCATTTTTCATGGTTATTATTATTATTATTATTATCAGAGTAAATTAAAAATTTCTTCATATTACGTTTTTATGATTTACATTTTATCAGGCTTAAATCCCTTCTTTCCACGTTTTATAATGCGTAGGTCCACGTGTTCGCCGGAGATGACAAGTGGGGTTAATTTAGTAATATAAATTATAAATGATAATTAATAAAATCACTTTTTTAGAAAAATTAATTATTATTATAAAAGAAAAATTATATTAAAATAAAACCAACTTTCACCTAATTTCTATTTTGAGGAGCCAACTTTCAAAATCGTCATTTTGTAGAACCAATTTGTACCTGATTTTTATTTTGGAGAATCAACTTTCAAAATTGTCATTTTAAAGAACCAATTTGCACCTGATTCCTATTTTAGGGAACCAACTTGCAAAATAATTATAGAAAAATAACTAAAATTCTTTTTTTTTCCAAAAATTAATGCAATAGAATCTATTTTTCATTTCAAATCTCGTTTTTTTTAATTCAGATATCAAATTGAACATTTTTAAAAAAAAATCCAAATTACCACAATAAAAATTGTTTTTTACTAATGCAAAAAAAATCAATTTAAATGAAAAAAGTTAATTGATGCAATTGGTTAGATATAAAAATCTTGAATGTGATATTTAATATTTATTTTTTATTGCATCAATTAATTTTTTTCTATTAAATTGATTTTTTTTTTGCATTAGTAAAAAATAGATTTTTGATTTACAAAAAATTCAAATAGATCCCAATAGATATTGGTTGACATCTCTTCATCCGCAAATAATTCTCGATGTGAAAACACAGAGACAAAGGGTGGATCGACTCATCAAGTTCCCATTGAAATAGGATTTTTATTGTTGTAATTTGGATTTTTTTTAAAATGTTCAATTTGATATCTGAATTAAAAAAACGAGATTTGAAATGAAAAATAGATTTTATTGCATTAAGTTT